GGGGGGGAAGAGGAAGGTTAAGAGACCGCCAAGCTCAATCTGCCCTTCCAACTCTCCCATAAAGAGACCCCTCTTCATCTCTGCCACCGTTCCAAAATCCCCCACCCTTCATCAGAAAGACCCTTGCCTTTTCACCCAAGGAACCCTTGAGCTCCTGTTGCTTCTTGCCCACATGTGAGCGCTACTGCTGAAGATATTGCTCGCTTCTCCTAACACACGCAATCTCCACCAAAACCCCACGCTTATCCAGCCGGACAGTCCGGGAGCGACAGTGGATCATCAAAGCGTTGCATCCTTCTCCTCTTCCCCCCCCCCCCCATCTCTCCTTAAACGCAATTCTCTCCTTAACAGCAAAGCATTTCCACATTTGTTCTCTAGCATATTATAAATATATTATTCATCTTTATCTCCTGCCTTTGAGAGTCTGCTGCGCGGGGTAAATTATGTGACAATGCCATATCTTTAGAGAGCTTAGAAAATAATACCGTGGGATGCCAGTCACATGGTGACACTCCCCTTTCGGGGACAGAGAACTGCAGCACCGATTGCTGGCAGCACGATAGGACCTTCTGACGCGAGTCAGAAGGCTGCTTTCTCCTCTTCCGCTGTCTAACCTACGTATTCGATGCGTGTAGAAGCAGCTGTGAAAACCGTCTTCTCTCTCCATTACCAAATATGAATTGCGTAAATTCAGTTCCCCTTTTCTTAAGCGGGGTGCGCGGGCGCATTGGGTAAAGTGCCGCGGACTATTGCCGCCTCTTCGCAAGGCTCAGACGCTCTCCTCCACCCTTTTCAGCCAAGAGGGGACAAACATTCAGGCCTGGCCTAACCGCACAGGTGACAACACTGTGAAACCAAGTGAGACTCCTCCAAGCAGAGAAGTACCTTTCCATCATCCAGTTCCCTGGCAGCTGGATAGCACCATGTTTTTAAACTAGTTCTCTCTTTTTTTAACCAAATATCAGACTGATCTCTTCATGCCTGTAGTTTCTGAAGTTTATATATTGCATCCCCATTAAAAAGAATAAAACCAGATTAAAGAAAACCACAATTAAAACCAGACAATGTTATTTACGAAGGCATCTGTAACTTGATGAGCTTGCAGTCCTTTATCCAAGAGCCTAGAACCAAGAAGGACGTTTCATCTCCTCCTGCAGATTGCACATTACAGACCTTGCACTATGGGGGTATCGCATTCTGTATGCAAGCGCAAACAACGCTTGCAGGCCAAGAGATGAGCCAAGATATCCTATCTGCCTCGCAGAGCTTATAGGGGCAAGAAAAAACTGCTCAGTAATTCAACAGCCAATACGGGCAATTGTTACGGGACGAAGGATAAAAATGGCAGTGGGCTAACAAGCAGTAACTCACTGGATAAGCTTTGGAGCTTGGGGGCTTCACGGATTTCAGCTTTCAGAAAAATAAATTCCTTCCTCGCTCAGATTTACACCACTACAGCGTTCACAAAATTATAGTCTTTGCCTTTTTTCCTTCCAAACCTGGAGCAAACCGCCAGGCACTTCCAAACCTCGTCTCTTGAGGCCGTCCCTCCACCCACCCCACTCTTGCTGTTTTGGGCTCAGTTTCCTACAGCTTGCCAAGAGATTTTTAGTGGTCTAGTTCCCAAAACCAAGCACAGAAGTCCACGTTATGGCCACACCTCAGTCCCATTTTGCTCTACACTCCCTGTCCTACTTCTTCTGCGTCCCAAAGCCATGCTGGTCCTCCGTGCAGTCACAGCACAGCGCAAATTCATAAACTACTGAAGCAGAGACTGCTGAATTAGTTTTCAGTTCTGTCAACTCAGCTCCCCACCAAGCACGTGCTGTGGATCTCTTTTTCTCACTCATTAGCCAACATTTGTTCAACTTCTGTTAATTTTTCCTAAACTCCCACTTAAAGGTGACCAGTGCGACTTTGTCTATACCAGCGTGCCTGGCTGCATTGATGTAGAAGATTTTTGCTGAAATCCCCCTGCAAAACCCTTTGCTGATCCTGTGACGACACCTGCAGGAGCCAACCAGGGTCAAGAGTTTGAAGCGCTGGCTGCGCAAGGTCCACGTTGCTGATTGTTGCCAAACTTGACGTAACTCTTGAGAAAGAGAAGAGATTTTCCAGGGGCCCGCGAACTACGTAAAGACTCAGTGACCACTGTGTAACTGGGGGATCTTTGGCAATGGTTCCCAACTACAGACCCAAAGTGCACGGGGAGAGCAACCGGCAGGACATCAAGCCAAGGGTCCTTGGACGTTAAACTTGTACCTGCAGCTTGGTTGGGTCTGGCAACAAATTAGCACACTGTATTTAAGGTTAACCTGCCCCGCTGCCCCCCTTTCCTCCCCTGTGCTCCAGTTCTTTAGCAGTACATATCCCACCTTTCCTTCTAGCTGTCTCAGGCCACAGGATTAAGGCAAAACATGACCGCTTTACATTGCAAACTGGTGCTTGCTGTCATCCAGATCTGGTGCACGCCCTCGCAGAGCTCCTCAGGAAGAGCAAGCCTTGTCAGGGTGGGCCTTTCTGTGTGCTATGCCACGCGTTTTCCTCCAAAAGTCACTCTTCCTACCCAGTGATTTCACAAAAGTATAAACTCCGAATGGGAAGGAAAACCACGCCGTACGTAGGACAGGCCGATATACTGTGTCTGAGGGAAGGGGAAGAGGCCTCATGTGACCAGAGAGAGGATTACAGGAAGCCTTGGGCTGTCCACAGGACAGACAAGCTGCAAAACACAGCTGGAGAATCAAAACTCAGATAACTAAAAAGTAAAAAAAGGGAAAAGAAATAAAAATCTACAGCCTTTTGCATAAATTTCTGCAAGAACACACAGAGAAAGAATTGTGTTTGGATGCTTCTACAAACCACTTCCCAGTTGCTTTTGTGACACGTTAATTACGCAGGCCGTAAAGCTACCAGGAAACGAGATCGTTTCGCAAAACACGTAAATCGGGGAGAAGGTCTTCAAGCAGCCAGATCATTTTTGATGCCCGCTGAAAGGAACCGCAGTAGCCGTGCTGCGGTAATCAACAGGGGCACAGGAAACAAGAGGCAACGCTTGCTGAGCAGAAGAGCCCGGGAAAAACAAGCACGCTCGAGCATGTAAGCTTGAACGAGGTCTGTTTGCTTGCCTGCAAAGGGTGTGAAACCGCTGAGGTGCTCGAGGAAGGGACACTGCCACAGCTTTCGCCCAGGGCCAGGAGAGGAGGGAAGCTTTCCGCCGCCCCGCCGAGAACTTCTTTTCCGCCTTGCCAAAGCCCCTTCTCTCTCCGCAGCGACTCCCGCAAGCGGCCGTGGCCGCAGCCCCACGGGTCAGGGGCACGAAAGCGGCGAGACTTTAGGGAGATGCTAGAAGAGGCCTGCCCCGCTCCCAAGGCACCTCTTCCCGCCCTCCGCTCCGGGCAGAACCCCTCTCCTCACACCCCCAGGCCCGCCCTAGAGAAGGAAAAGGGCGGCGAAGCAGTGAGGGGCAGCACCGGGGAGACACACGCCACCGGTAACGGACTACGGCCGGTGAACAGCAGCCCGGGGGGGAGGGCGGCACCGCGACCCACCGGGGCAGCCTTGTCCCTCC